AGGCTATGGTGAAAATTTTTTAGCAACAAGTTTCTACTTACATAATCTATGCAATGAACACACAGTTTCATGATACCAAGTCAGCTAGATATTTTATTGTGAAAAGTTGAGTTTTCTAAAATATTTTGTGAAATATTTCTTCTATCAAAAATCTATGTATTTATTGCATAGAGCATTAAAAGATACATATTATTTGAAAATTTCATCTTCATATCTTATACAGAGCCAAAGATATCTTAATCACAAGCTTAATAGATGTCCGTATTTGAGATTTGAGAAAAGTGCATTTGAAGTTTTGAGATGTACTGAATAACTAATTTTTCTTATCTTTTGCAACTTGACTGAATTTTGGTTGTCTATCACACATAATGTACCCATAGATACAACCAAAAATGTTAAAAGAAGTCAATAATAATGTTTAGAGGCATCATAAAGGTAACTGGGGGTTCAAACTGGTTGAAATATCCATGTTCATTACTCGACAGGTCCGTCAACTTTCTAGGTCTCTTTTTCTTTCCTTCCTTATTTCCTCTTTTCCTTTTTAGACTTGCATCAACTTCCTTTTTAGAAATGTTTTCAGGCTCTGCAGAAAGACCAAAAGCCCTTGATAAATAGCTATTCCTAGCTACATAAAGTCTTCGCTTCTTTATTGCTTGTAATTTTTGTCTCCGATCTTTGTATTTCTGTGATGTTTTTAAGGTGGCAGCTTGTAATTTTTGTCTCCGATCTTTGTATTTCGGTGAAACCTTCCTTGCAGCATCTTTCAGCCTTCTATTGTCAACAGTTTTCAAATAACTTAAAGTTTGTTTGGCCACATTTAAGTTGTAATGCCTTCAAAACATCTGCAATTGATGATGGCCTAATATTGAAATTTCCAACAGAATGGCAAACAGCGATTGTAACTTTTCGTTTTCCACTAAATCACTGATCTCTAACCACTAAACCTGACAGGTTTTTGGACATCATGCCCATACCATACCATGCAAGGACTCATTCCAGTGGATGGTTTATCAAATTCAATCATTGTATGCTCTTCTCTTTCAATGATCTCTATAAGCCTAGCAGCTGCTTCACTCATAATGTTTTCACATACATTTACTGCCACTTCCTCAAGATTTTTTGAATGTTTGCTGTAAGGTGACTTTGAGCCAGTGTTTGGAAGACTCATAAGCCAAAAGATCTCTCCAACCCAGCACATTCAGTTTCTAGTAAAGCAACAACTGATCTACAGTTTATTTCATATGTGGTCTTTCCCTCTTTTCTTGTCTGCCCTCTTAGATCCACTGAGCTTTTCACTGGTCTCAAGTGGTGAACTTGTATGACAATGGCTACATACAAGATCATATTTCTCTGCAAGGCCAAACTTATTGCTAAACTAGAGGCCAAACTAAGCAGCAGGCTTAACTGTGCCTTTGGATTCCTACATGTACGACAAACAGCAATTTTGTTGATTGCATTCATCAAAAGTTTCTTATCTATAAGGCTGTAGCCATCGTCAGCACTGCCAATATTGCCAGCAGCAGCATCCTTCGTTTCTTTTATCCGGAAATTGGTCTTTTTATGGGACTAAGGTTTTCTGAACCAAAGAAAGAGTTCATAAGTTTATAAAGTGAAGCACTGTGTTCCTCTAATTCTTTGCTTTGATCCGTTGTTTCTTGTGAAGACGAGGTAGGCAGTACATCTTCATCACCTTTTCGCTTTGGCCTAAGTAATCCAAATCCTTGTCATTGCTTCGAATACATAGTTTTTTCTACTTCCAGCAGATCTTTTTCTTTTCTTCGCTTTACCGACCTAAATTTTCGATTAAAAACTCTCTTTTCAGGGCGTTCATTGTCGGATAAGTTCGCTTCATAAACAGAAGGACTCTTCGAACAATTTTCGTCGGCCAGGCCAAACAGAAACTATGCTTCATTCGTTCCCTGTGCTTTTTAAAGTGGTATAAATGCATTTTGGGATAGGGTAGAAGACCAGAGATTACGTAATATAATTTTTTTTCAAAAACGGGTCCCATGGGTGTCAACAGACCCCTAGCAACCGATAGAAACTTGGTTGCTAAGGAAAGATGATCAACCCAGGGGATAAATAAATCAAATTTTCGCAAAAACTACAACAGTTACGGGAAAACTTCCTTCAAAATCAAATTTTGCAGTAATTTCCCTGATCATATCCAAGGAAAAAAGAATTTTGACAAAATTTTCATAACTGACCATTTTCATGGTAGACTGCTACCTTAAAGCCCTGGTCAAACGATCAAACATTTCGCCCAACCTTTCGCCCAACACTTTTCTTTTATGTTGGAAATTGTCCCAACGATGGTGGTCAAACGATCCAACATTTCATCCAACATTTCACTCACGCGTAGATCGAAAAGGGACTGGGTAGAAGTTCGTGGTGAAGGATACACAGTTTCGCAACATTTCGATTGGAAAAACGAAAGGCAATCACTGTCTTTCCTTATTATTTCTCTTCAGATATTTTCACTGTCATCGCGATCTTTCAGGACAAGCGTCGCATCCCATATCAAGGCCGTGACCTAAAATCGTTCCCCTGCACTTTCTTGTCACCCCTCTGTGCTACAGTTTCTTAATTGACGCTTGAGGGCACTTTCTTTGATTTTATCCTAGAAGTCAAGTTTTGAGCAATGAGATAACCCCATTAATTCAAATGGTTTAGCACGTTGACCTTTCTGACAGGACCTCCGAGAGACGTAGGAGACCTTGCAGCAAAACTGACAGAAGAGGCCCCCTGCAAGCGGACCGAATAGAAATTTTTTGCGATCTGCCCTTTTAGATTGTCTTAAAATGCATTTCAGAATATTTCTTGCAGTCATCTCTTGCAATCAATTTAAACATTTGCCCGTGGACTAGTGTTAAATCACTACTTTGATCTAACATAAACGCGTGAGTTCTAAATAATAAGTAGAATTAACTTACGACCTTGAGCAGAAGAACTCGAATAAAGACACGTCTCGTCTAAAACAGCAAATAACGATTTGCGTTAACCGATGCTAATTACGATGCTGCAGTAGATTTGTTAACGAAGAGGTTTGGCAAGACAAATGTCATCAAAAGAGCATTAATCAACGACCTAATAAATCTGCCAGCCGTATTCAGCGAAAAAAACGCAAATCGATTACGTAATCTCCATGATCAAATCGAGACGAAGTTTCGTGCGATGGAGGCACAAGAGATCGGCAAGGAGTCATATTCCAGCGTTGTTGTGCCAGTGCTGATGTCGAAGATCCCGGAGAGCATAAGGAAAAATATGATAAGATTTGGCGACAATCACATGGAATGGAATTTGGGCGAAATGTTGGTAGCATTTGAGAAGGAATTGGACGTGCTGGAAGGACATTTCCCAATAATGAACCAACCGTTCCCCCAGACAGGGGCTGGAAGGAGGGCAGAAATGAAGCACCACTCTACAACCACAACCGCAGCACTGTTGACCGAAAGGGAAAACCCCAGTGGTAATGATAACAAGAAGTGTTTGTTTTGCCATGCCTTCCATGAATCGACCAAATGCCAGAAGATCAAAGATCCGGAGGATCGTAAGAAAATTTTAGTTAAGACTGCTAGATGTTTTGTATGTCTTAAACAAGGACATCGAGCCTTCAAATGTAAGCTTAGAAAAGAATGTTCGTTATGTAGGAAAAACGATCACCATGTTTCGATTTGTCCTAATTTAGGCCATGTTAAGGACTCGTTGCGTAATGATACTGCTCCCAGCGCACCCCTCAACCCCCAAGCATCTTCCTGGGTGGGAAGTACTGGATCTGAAGGGGGAGTGGCCTTGCAAACAGCGTTGGCTTTGGTGAATGATAAAAGGGAAAGTAAAGTGAGAGTTTTGTTTGACACAGGGAGTCACAAAACATTCATCACAGAAAAAGCTGTTTGCGAAAATGAATTAAGGCCAGTGCGGAAAGAGATTTTAGGAATAAAGGCTTTTGGGAGTAGAGAAGCAGATGTGGCTGAGAGAGATGTAGTAGAGTTATTGCTCAGTCCACTGAATGGAGGGAAGAATGTTTTTATTGAGGCTTTTGTAGTTAAAGACATTTCTTCAATTCCTAACATTCATGTTGAATCGGTTAAGCATGATTATGAGCATTTAAAGCATGTATGGCAGGCTTTCGTCGGAAAGGCGTGCGATCGCACGCGCACGCCCTGGCGCACGCCTGCTGCTTTCCAGGAGTGCAAAACATCGCACGCCTTCTTTTATTATCGGAGCAAAATTCATAATTATTGGTTTTGTGGGTTTTTGAGATGAGTTAATAAATTGATCCCTCCTTGGTACTATTACTTCATGCCACTTCAAAAAGGCTTAACACCTTTTCAGGATTGCCGATTAAATATAAAATTTTGAAATAATCATAGAACTAATCTACAGTGGAATCCCGATATTATGAAACATTAAGTGTTTTGAACAAGACTTTCATTTTCTATCGCTAATGTACGAAAGTAGCCGATTATGCGATAAAAAGGAGCCGATTTGCCAATGATGCGGAAAAAAATAACAGAGGATTTGCTGGATTTCGCTACTCCCTACAGCCCCCTCTTTAGACATCGCTAGGCTTTAAATCTAGATTTTAGCAACATTTGATTTAATGAAAATTGGGCCATCATTATCTTTTATGCATCTGGCCAGTGAGGTACACAAAATAGCTGTCATGTTTGATAACAAAGGGCTCTCGATGCACTGATTTACATGAAAAAACTGCCATTACAACCAGATGAACGCCAAAGCATCAATGATTCTGCTAAGGATTCATTATTGAAGCTAATGAAAACTGCTTACGACATGGCAAACATATTTCTATACTTGTAGTGCCGTTTTTTTTGGATATATTAAATAAGCTCAGTTTATACTTGTTTAGAAAATTGCTCAATTGCTAAAATGTAAGTAGTCATGGTAAGAATTCAGCGAAGTAAATTTCATTGAAATTTTTGCTGTCATCATTTTCGTGTTGGCCATTTCTCCGTAGATCTACCATAATTATCAAAATGTTTTGTGAAAAAATGTCACACGCCATCACACGCCTGGATGTTTTCAGGGGTGCGGTGGTTAGCACGCCTGCTATATTTTTCCCACGAAAGCCTGTATGGTTTTCAGACTATTGCAGGAAACAAGATAGGTTGGAAATTGATTGTCTCATCGGCTCAGATTGGATTTGGTCTTTCCAAGAGGGTAGAACAATACGAGGGGGGCAACAAGAACCAGTAGCTGTAGAGACTAGTCTTGGATGGGTGCTATCTGGACCTCTCAAAGGTAAGAAACTTGATCATATTTACTCTTCAGATTGCCAGGTTAATTTTTGCATTGATGAAACTTCTAAATTTTCCAGTGTAGGGAACTTAGACCTTGATTATAAGCTTAATAGATTATGGGATCTTGATGGTATAGGCATTAGAGAGGCCAATAAGGTACATGAAGGTGTTCTCGATAATATTAAGATTACAGGTCATAGATACTCAGTTGGTCTTCCATGGAAGCTTGGTCATAAGCCTTTACCAACCAATTACAATATCAGTATGCTAAGAATGAAGAGCCAGGTTAGGAAGTTAAGGCAAACCCCAATAATTCTCAAGAAGTATGATGAAATAATTTCCCAGCAAGTAGAGGAGGGCATAATAGAACAAGTAGCAGAACTTGAACCTGAGGGGAAAGTGCATTATCTCCCACATAGAGCTGTGATAAGGGAAAATGCTGAAACAACCAAAGTGCGGATAGTATATGATGCTTCTTGTAAGGATAGGAAGTTGGGAGTATCCCTCAATGATTGTTTGCACGTTGGCCCATCACTTACCCCAATGATCCTTGATGTCCTTCTCAGATTCAGAATTAATCCTGTTGCTCTTGTAGGGGACATAGAAAAGGCATTTCTCAATATAGAGATACATAAGGAAGATAGAGATTGTCTTAGATTTTTGTGGTATAAGGACATAAATGATGCTGATTCAGAAGTTATAGTATATAGATTTAATCGAGTTGTTTTTGGATGTAATTCTTCTCCATTTTTGCTTAATTGTGTACTTAGGAATCATATAGAGAAGTATAAGGAAGAAGATCCGGAGTTTGTTAGCAAGTTGATAGGAGGTTTCTTTGTTGATGATTTAGTGACTGGGTGTGAGGATAGTTCTGAGGCAGTAGATCTCTATAGGAAGGCCAAGAGTAGAATGAAAGATGGAGGATTTACATTAAGAAAGTGGAAGACTAACAGTAGTGAGGTAGCTAAGAAAATAGCAGATACAGAAGGCAATGAAATGCAAGTAAAGGATGTCAGTGTATCATCAGAAGAGTCTTATGCTAAGGAAACACTAGGGTTAGATACTTTAGAAGGAAAAACAAAAGTTTTAGGTATCAGTTGGGAAATAGAGAAGGACAGACTAGACCTTGATCTCTATAAGGTAGGCAAGGAAGCAGACGATAGTGTTTGTGCAACTAAGAGAGGTATTCTTAGTACTTTAGCATCACTCTATGATCCACTTGGGTTGATAAGTCCAGTGGTTGTCACGGCAAAAATTCTTTTCCAAGAGCTGTGCTTAGAAAAATTGGGATGGGATGATACTCTTCCACAAGAAAAGGTTTTGGTTTGGCAAACATGGCTTGAAGATCTTAGGGAAAATAGGACAATTTCCTTTCCTAGATGTGTTTTAGAGGACAGGAAGGGGGGTGTTTTAAGTTATCAGCTACATGGGTTTGCAGATGCCAGTCAGAAAGCCTATTGTGCCATGGTTTATCTCGTTTGTGTGACTGAACAAGGGACATATACTAAATTGTTAAGTGCCAAGACCAGGGTTGCGCCTTTAAAAGCATTGTCCATACCCCGTCTAGAATTAATGTCTGCTCGAGTATTAGCCACATTAATGGATACAGTTAAGAATGCATTAAGCCCACAGATTCAGTTTGATAAGGTAAAATATTGGCTAGACAGTAAGACAGCCCTGTTTTGGATATACAATAATGGGGAATGGAAACAGTTTGTCCAGCACCGAGTTAACGAGATTCTCTCATTAACTAGCAAAGAAGATTGGGCTCATGTTGCTGGCACAGACAACCCTGCAGATTTGGGTTCCCGGGGAGTCTCCGCTACGCTCCTTAAGAATTCCAGATTATGGTGGGAGGGCCCCACTTGGCTTTGTGAGGATGAAAGTAAGTGGCCTAAGTTTTCACCATCAGTAGACTCTGCGGATATTGAAGTAGAAAGAAGGAAGAATGCTACATCATTGTTTACAACTAACACAGATAGAGTTGGAGTGGGTAGTATAGTAGATGTAGAACGACATGGAACTCTTGGTAAACTTTTAAGAGTGACCGGATATGTGTTGAGGTTTATAAATAACTTAAGGGGAAGGAGTATGAATAAAGTCCTAAACATTGGAAATTTGAGTACAGAGGAGATAGAAGCTGCAGAGCATGTATGGATTAAGGATGTGCAGAAGGCCTTGAGAAATAGGCAAGATTTTCAAGCATTGTCAGTGCAACTTGGCATAGTTGATCAATCTGGTGTTTTAGTATGCAAAGGTCGGTTAGAAAATGCAGATTTAGATATAGGTAGTAAGTATCCTATAATCTTACCTAGGGATCATAGATTTACTGATCTTGTGATTGAAGATTGCCACAAAAGGGTATTCATAACAAACTTCGTTCAACCCTTGCAGAACTCAGATCTAGGTTTTGGGTACCAAGAGGTAGACAGCAAGTTAAGAGAGTATTAAATAGATGCTTAACATGTAAATGGTTTGATGCAAAGGCGCTTGCTGCACCTAATACCGCTCCACTGCCAGATTTTAGAGTTACTAAATCTTTACCCTTTAGCAACACAGGGATAGACTTTGCAGGACCCTTGTTTGTAAAAACAGGCCAGGGAGACATGCGGAAAGCGTATATAGCTCTGTTCACATGCTGCGTAACTAGAGCTATTCATTTAGAATTGATTGATGATTTGAATACATTAACATTCATGAATTGTTTTCGAAGATTTTGCTCTAGAAGAGGGACACCGAGACTCATAAACACGGATAATGCTAAAACCTTTAAGGCTGCAAATAAGCTGCTCAACAAACTTGCCAAGGATCATACGTTTGTCGAATATTTAGTGCATAGAAGGATCAAATGGAAATTCAATTTACCCCTATCGCCGTGGTGGGGAGGATACTTTGAGCGGATGGTAGGATCCGTGAAGCGTTGTCTAAGGAAGGTCTTAAAGAATGCTAGATTATCATTTGATGAACTACAGACAGTATTAACAGAGGTTGAAAATATTTTGAATTCTAGGCCTCTAACTTATCTATATGATGAATTAGAAACTACCTTAACACCATCTCATCTTATTTATGGTTATAGATTGTCATCTCTTTCAGAGGGAATCGATCCAATTTTTGACGAGGAGGATATTAAAGATAAATTAACGAAACGATTTTTGTATGTAACTAGAAGACTATCTCATTTTTGGAGTAGATGGCAAAGGGAATACTTAACAGATCTGAGGGAATTCCATAAGCTGAAACTGAACGCTGATTTACAGGTGAAGTTAGGAGATCTGGTTTTGCTGCAGGAGGACCACATAAAACGCGGACAGTGGAAAACAGCCATCATTGAGGAGTTACTGATGGGACGGGATGGGAAAGTAAGAGGAGCCGTAGTTCGGAAAACAGGTAGGGGCAAACCAGAAACTCTTAGTAGACCTTTACAACGACTAATTCCACTTGAAATTTCAGTAAGAGACAATGCCAAAAAAGAGAGGAAAGATGAATCTATGTTGAAGGCGAATGATGAATTGAGAGAAGATGGGAAGAAGGATGGTGTGAAGAGTGGTGATAAGTCAGAAGGGAGACCCACTCGTGCTGCGGCCCTGGATGCGCGTTGGCGGGCTAGGCTTATGCTTGACCCATAACCTGGGTCAAGGAGGGGGGAATGTCGGGGAAAACTCCACGCACAGCAATTATTATTTTTGTATGGATGTAGTTAACAATATTTCATTTATTCAGTTTGAGCTTATCGGCTTTAGCTTTGTGACTCAAGGTATTTTCTTTACTCATGACTTTAATGCACGTAATGCACGTAATGCACGTAATAACCTCGTTTCAAGAGTCGTTAGGAAACTGACTCAAGATTCAAGCTTCACAGGTATTGAGTATTGGCGTCAATCTATTGTTAGAGAGATTTAATTTTTTATGTTTTGGTAAAATCTGATTGGTTTGACGAATTGTTTTTCTTAATTCCTATTGGTTACGCTATTTTTATACTTATTGTAAAACGTATATATGCACGTGTGATTTAACTTAGAGTAGAGAGTTTGAGACTAGAGTTAACAGAATGGAAGTCTCAGAATTGAAATTTTTGATGTTGAACCTGGAAGATGTTTCTTTTTGAGCACAACTCTGCAATTAAATACGTATCTTGAACTAGCGCTTGAAGAATACTTAAC